CTTATCGCCATGCAGCTGGAGTTGAAGATCCAACATCCAGCTGCTTCAACCAGTCCACTGTCACCTGGACAAAGCAGGCATCACTGTGAGGGTCATGTTCTTTGATTTCTCCAGTGCATTTAACACAATTCAGCCTGATGTACTTTGCCAGAAACTCCAGAAGACACAGGTGGGGGCCTCAACTATCGCCTGGATTAAAGCCTACCTGACAAACAGACCACAGTTTGTGAGGCTGAAGAACTGCACATCAAACCAGGTGATCAGTAACATTGGAGCACCACAGGGAACTGTACTCTCACCATTCCTTTTCACCCTGTACACCTCAGACTTCCAGTACAAATCAGAGACCTGTCATCTACAGAAATACTCAGATGACTCTGCAGTTGTCGGGTGTATCAGATATGGACAGGAAGCTGAGTACAGAGAGCTGGTGGAGCGCTTTGTGGCATGGTGTGGAAATAGTCATCTGACCTTGAATGTGAACAAAACAAAGGAGATGATTTTAGACTTCGGAAGAAACAGGGTGGAGTCAAACACTGTTTCCATCATGGGAGAAGAAGTGGAGGTGGTTGAGGAATACAAATACCTTGGGAGTTCACCTGGACCACAGACTGGACGGGAGAAAGAACAGCGAAGCCGTTTACAAGAAGGGACACAGCAGACTGCACTTCTTGAGGAAGCTTAGGGTCTTTAATGTCTGTAGCAAGATGCTGCACATCTTCTACAAGTCAGTTGTTGAGAATGTAATCTCTTCAGCCATCATCTGTTGAGGTAGTAGCATCAGAAGCAGGGACCTGAAAAGGCTCAACAGCCTAATAAAAAAGGCTGGTTCTGTTCTGGGGACGACTGTGGAACCACTGGAGGAGATTATGCAAAGAAGGATTCTCCAGATAATCAAGAAAAATATGGACAACCCTGAGCATTCTCTTCATAAGACTGTCCGACAACGAAAGAGTGTCTTCAGTCAGAGGCTTCTTCAGTTTCGCTGCAAAACCGACTGCTACTGGAGATCCTTCCTGCCAACAGCCATTGTAATATACAATAACGCTTTGATGACTTGATTATTATTCTGAGCCACTACAGTAATCAATCTCTCTCTGGGATTAATAAAGTATTTTTGAATTGAATTGAACTGAATTGAATTGAATTCCCTTGCTGTCCTCTCTAAGTGTCACCCTTGTTTTATTTATTGGAGAGTCAGCGGCTGCTTGCACATCCCAGGCATTGAGATGGACCTACCAGAACACACAACATGTCAAACTCAGATTTCTTAGCATCGACGCACCAAATCTTCTCACCTCTTAACTCCACTACAGGGTCCTGTTCCACGCACCTTCTTCTACGAATCTTTAGATTACTTGAATCATTAAAGTCCCAAACATTAATTTGTTCATTTTTTACAGTAAATGAGGGTTTTTGTTGACCTCGAGTGCTTTTCTGAACCGGGAATAAGAGGTTGAATAGTCTGTTTACCTCATCTGCTTGGATTAGGGTCCAGAAAGTGTTGCTGCATTATTTAGATCCTCGGTTTTCCCTTTGACTCCTGACAGCTGCAAGAGTGGACAGTGTGTGAAAGTGTAATGATTCTGCATTGGCAGGGATCACAGCCGATGCACAGTGGATCGATAGACTCTGGTTTCTCTCTCTGTCTTTATTGATCCTCCAGTATTTGCTTGTGAGCCAAACCCAGCAGTCAGAAATCTTAAAAAAATAAAAAAAAATAAAAAATAAACAAAAACCAACCCCTGCACCTCATTAGACAAAGACCATTCCAGAGACTGACCTTTAATGGAAACCAAGCATTTTCTGCATGCTGAAGAATGAAACATACAGTTAAGATCCTCTGGAAAGAATCATTCATCGTAATGTAAGGCCTCACCCCTCAGCTCCCGAGGATTGGACTTGTAATGGGTCTGTTTTATCATCAACTCGCAGGCAACAAAATAAGTTGGAATGCGATGGGAGTCCAAACTAAATTACCTTGTGCAATCGAAATGCCATTAAGCATTTATTAATGCTCGTGAGGCTGGACAAAGGCAGGATGAACTGGTGTAGATTTTTCTTGGTTTTCTTTTAAAAGAACAAATAAATCACCAGCAGTGATGTGAGTTTAAAAAGGGGGCTATGACACCACCTTGGCTCTTAAACTGACTTTGAAGCTGCAGGTGGATTATTTATTAGAGTTTTCTGGCTTTTTTGATAATTATTATTTGCCTTTCACTCATTTTTGTAACGAGGCAATTGGGAAAACGTCTCTTTTTTTCTTGATCTCAGCTGCGAAACACATGAAAACTTAACTTTCTCTGGATCTGGAAGCTCATAATAAGCCTATTTACAGGCTAAAATACTATTTCAATGGTTTAAAAGAGTATAAATTGAATTTCTTTCAGTGTGAACATCAAACTGACTAGAATACAATGAAAAACAAAAAGCCAGACACACTTGACTGAAATAAAAATGTCTCTCTGATCCAAGGCTAAAGCTTTATCATCAGTACCTTTTTGTCATTTCTTCTGGTTTTGTTTAACTCCCTTTCAGTCATCACACACACGTGCATGCATTCACATGCACATGCAGACACACACACACACACACAAATCACAAGGTTCTTTTTATCCTTTACATGCAACGTGTTTGCTCCGCAGTAGGAGCGTGAAAAACAGTCTCCAGTCTACTCGCTCAAGCATGAGTTGGACCGGAAATTATATAACTTCTTCAACTTAACTCCTTTTCTCTTTACAAGACACTAGATGTTTTGTTGCCATGGAGATGAGAACTCAGACCTAAGTTCCCATGCTTTTTTGATTTGCAACCACTGAGAGATTTTCTTTCATGAGGGTAATTACTAAATATAGATCATATAAATGAACATTTTAAATGAGTGGAGTGTTTTGACTGTGATCTCATCACAGCTAAGCAAGTTGTAAAACTGTTTTTTTAATAATTTGCCACACATTTATTTATTTGATGTAAAACAAGCAATTGGAATATTTCCGTTTTGTGTTTGAAAGTCCTCTCTGCTGATTAATCAATAAATGAAGTACAGTTCTATTATTTTGCTCTTTAAAATTTGCTTGAATTTTCAGATTTTAGTGGAAATAGTTTAACTGAAACTACTTAATTCAGTTTATTTTTATTTAAAGTCCTTTTTTATCATATAATTTCATTTATGAATCAAACAGGGTTTAAAATGCCCAACATTTCAAACAAATTCATGCATTTTTTATTCATTGAGTTTCAAATTGTTCAGATGTTTTCAACTGATGTGTTGAATAGCATCAATTTCAGAGTCACTGCATCCTGTAGTTGAGGATAAAATGACAACCCTGGCATGTGAGCACACTGGTGTCATCAGATGACTACAGGGTGTTGCTGGAGGATCACTTCATTAAGCCTCTGTGAAGTGAAACGCCCTTTACAGTAGATGCTGCAGCATCATTAAAGAGAGGTGGAGGTGGTCTGAATGAAAGAGTCAGATCTAACCAAGCAGGGAAAGGTCACTGCACCGTCGCGCTGCAGTGAAACAAAACAGGAGAGTTAATCTCCAAAAGGAACCGAGGCGGCGTTGGTTGGTACTGGAACGTTGTCTCGGTGCTTTCTGCAACCTGATGCTAATGTGCATTAAAATAACCTAACAGTGATGAGGGGTAGGTTGGTATCGTAGTGCAGAGTGTTGAGAAAATCAGCTTTTCACATTGTGAATTCTGACTGTGCAACATGCTTTAAAGAATGGGAACAAAATGGGTGAAAAAATAGTTTTCAGAAGTGTGGTGATGAAGATATGCTTTAGTCGACCATTTATTCTGGAAAATACACTTTCCTGTGCTTTTGGAGTAAATATATAAATATTGTAACAAATTAACTTCAAATCAAATGTTCGGATCAGGAACACAATGCATTTAGGGCAAAAAGAAGAGTTCTATTCTCTTGGAAATGGTAGAAATTTGACTCTGAATTTACTACAGAATCAGTTTGAATGCTACAAAACCGGCATAGGTCAGTGTTTGTATTACAAGTTAAAATCATCAAATTAAAATACCTGACTCTTTCAGGTTTTGGGGTTAAAATAACAATCATAAAATAAAATAACATCTGGTGGAGCAATAATAAAATAAGGAGCACGCTTGGATCAGTGAGTTTATCATCCTATAGTAGCTTTTCAGCTTCTTGTGGAATATTGCTTACATGGGATTTCCACAACAGAATGACCCTAAAAATACCTGTATTCTTTTCAGATCAGTTCATGGCTTTGTTTAATAATTTAACAAATATATTTTAAAAATCCACAATCTACGTATTTGCAAAAGATCATTTTGTAAATTTATTTTGAAACTTCCCGCGACCCTACGAGGATAAGTGGGTAAAGATAATGGATGGATGGATGGATGGATGGATGGATGGATGGATGGATGCAAAACTGCTCGTTGGATTTTTAAACTAATTTCTTCACTGTGAATAATTTAAATTTCATTACATCCATCATCATTTCATCACTGATCAGAGCTCTGAGAGCGAGTAAAGCCTTTCTGCCAACAGATGACGGTAAAGTGGTTGTTGTTGTTTTTTCAGTGACTCTTCACACAGCTCCTGTTTGTTTTGGCAACAACTCTCAGGAGCACAAAAAGGAGGTGAGAACAGATACACTGGATCTGCTGAGGAGAGGAGAGGAGAGGAGAGGAGGGGAGAGGAGAGGAGAGGAGAGGAGAGGAGAGGAGAGGAGAGGAGAGGAGAGGAGAGCCTGAATTGATTTCCCGGAGGGTGTGGGGTTTTTTTTCAGCACCAAGGAGAGCGACAACTCCCCAGTAAGGAGAAATAAAGAAACCAAACATCAGTGGTGGTGGTGTGTGTGTGTGTGTGTGTGTGTGTGTGTGTGTGTGTGCGCGCGCGTGTGCGTGTGCGTGTGCGTGTGTGTGTGTATGTGTGTGTGTGTGTGTGTGTGTGTGTGTGTGTGTGTGTGTGTGTGTGTGTGTGTGTGTGTGTGTGTGACAGCGAGATGGGGTGGGGGTTATTCAACGACGTCACCTGTTTTGCTTTTTGCTAAATTAGACACATTTTACTTTCTTCCAGGCGGACCATGACTGGAAAACCACCTTTTGTTTGTGTTTGAGGACCAAATAAACAATTTCATTTATTTCTGCGCATTTACGTTGTTCTTGATCCGGACTTAAACGGGTGTGAACGTGACTCCATCAAGTGTTTTTGTTTACGGCGCACTAGCGTGGTTCCTCGGTGTTAAGCTCATTCCCGATCGGGCTGCTGCTGGTGGACGTCTGTCAGACATCTGCTCGCTGTGGGCGGGTGTGTTGGTGTGTTTGACATAGGAATGGGGAGTGAAGCGCGGACGCGCACAGATTGTTGATGGTTAGACGGGAAGTAAGTGGCGGCCGCCTCAGCTCTCCAAAGCTGTGAGCTTTGGCTGAGAGTGACGCGGCGCGCGCTGCCCCTAACAGGGCATTACACATACACACCTGTATGGATGACCAGACCCCCAGCGCCACCCAGTCGCCCTCATCAGCAAGGCACAAGGGCAGAAACACGACTGACAATCGGAGTTATGGAGAGACTGGGAAGGACATCAACATGACGGTGGACAACACGCTGGAGGACTCGGCCGTGCTCTCGGCGCCTCACGTGTCGGTGGATCGATACGAGCGCAGCCGACAAGGATGCTGCGAGAGGGTGGTCATCAATATTTCGGGTTTACGCTTCGAGACGCAGCTGAAAACTTTTAACCAGTTTCCAGACACGCTGCTGGGAGACCCCAGGAAAAGGATGCGCTACTTTGACCCACTTCGGAACGAGTACTTCTTCGACAGGAACAGACCGAGTTTTGATGCCATCCTTTACTACTACCAGTCGGGGGGGCGCATCAGGAGACCCGTGAACGTCCCCATTGATATTTTCTCCGAGGAGATCAGGTTTTATCAACTCGGGGAAGAGGCGATGGAGAAATTCCGCGAGGATGAAGGATTTATAAAAGAGGATGAGCGCGTGCTTCCCAAAAACGACTTCAAGAAGCAGGTTTGGCTTTTGTTTGAGTATCCTGAGAGTTCTGGACCAGCGAGGGGGATAGCTATCGTTTCAGTGCTTGTTATTTTAATTTCAATAGTCATTTTCTGCATGGAGACTTTGCCTGAATTCCGGGATGAGAAGGATTTGGCCACAGTGGCGCCCACAGTGAACGGCACTGCCCCATATGTACCAAGCCCCTTCACAGACCCCTTCTTTGTGATTGAGACGCTGTGCATCATATGGTTTTCTTTTGAGCTGCTGGTCAGGTTCTTTGCCTGCCCCAGCAAAACCACTTTCTCCAAAAACATTATGAACATCATTGATATTGTGGCTATAATCCCATACTTCATCACTCTAGGGACTGAGCTGGCAGAGAGACAAACCAACAGTGGCCAGCAGGCGATGTCCCTCGCCATCCTCAGGGTGATCAGACTGGTCAGAGTTTTTCGCATATTTAAGCTCTCACGACACTCAAAGGGACTCCAGATTCTGGGGCAGACGCTCAAAGCCAGCATGCGGGAGCTGGGCTTGCTCATATTTTTTCTTTTTATTGGAGTCATCCTCTTCTCCAGCGCGGTTTACTTTGCAGAGGCGGATGATCCCTCATCCAGCTTCACCAGCATCCCGGATGCGTTTTGGTGGGCAGTCGTCACCATGACTACAGTGGGATATGGGGACATGCACCCAGTCACCATTGGTGGTAAAATAGTGGGTTCGCTGTGTGCAATAGCAGGCGTGTTGACCATTGCTTTACCCGTGCCAGTGATTGTGTCCAACTTTAACTACTTTTACCACAGAGAGACGGATGGAGAAGAGCACCAGCAGTACCTTAACACAGCTAGCTGCGACCACCTCCCCTCTGAGGAGCTGAGGAGGTGCAGTTCCTCCTCTCTCAGCAAGTCAGAGTACATGGTGATAGTAGAGGGCATCAATAGTATGCTCAAACAGCCCAACTACACCACAGAAAGCAACCAGAACTGTGTGAACATCAAGAAGATCTTCACCGACGTGTAAATGAACCCAGTGGTGAATTTTTAATGAAGCATGAAAACATATTAGGCCTAACTATGAGTTGTGTTTAGCCAATCATGATGTGTTAGTCCATATCTGTGGCTGAACGCAGCAAAGGTCCTTTTAAACCGACATAATCCCAGCCAGCATGCATAGGTGGGCCCCATATGGGATATTTATGGGGAATGAATGGAGGACAGACACTCACTTTTGGTATGCATACAGTCACAAAAACATAACATTCATGATTGAGATACAGGTGTAGCATTTACCATAGCATTAAATTCTGCCTCATTTCAGTAAAAGTGAATAGAGGTAATGAAGGGATCCAAAATTATACCAATGGCCACAACAAATTAGGGCTGTAGTTTGGGTCGAACCATCTGAGTCCCGCTGAAAACCTCTGTGGGGCCACGATGGAAACCAACACAAAACCTGTTGCAACCCATTCTGTTTCTCAAATACACCGCCTGGTCAAAAAAGAAAGAAAAATGTTGCCACCTGGATTTATGTAAGCAAATAGAAACCTCCTATTGGATAATTACTGCATGGGTGATTATATTTCAGCTGCAAAGTTATTGAACCCCAACTGGTGCAATGAGCTGCTTCTTATTTCTTAAACAAGCACGTGGAAAGACACATCAGGTGGTCATGGAAAGGTGTTAGTCTGGGTGAGAAGGGTCAGATCGTCAGCATCAAGCAGAGAAAACATCTAAGGAGATTGTAGAAACGACTAAAACTGGGTTCAGAACTTTCCAACGTGTTATGAAAAACTGGTCTGATGAGTCCAGATAGACCCTGTTCCAGAGTGATGGTGCATCAGGGTAAGAAGAGAGGGAGATGAAGTGATGCGCCCATCATACCAAGTGCCTACTGTACAAGCCTGTGGGGGCAGTGTTATGATCTGGAGTTGCTGCAGTTGGTCAGGTCTAGGTTCAGCAACAGGATGTGCTCCAAGAATGAGGTCAGCTGACTAACTGAATATCTTGAATGACCAGGTTATTCCATCTTCTCTGATGGCACGGCCATATTCCAAGATGACAATGCCAGGATTCATCGGGCTCAGATAGTGAAAGAGTTGTTCAGGGAGAATGAGACATCATTTTCACACATGGCTTGGCCCCAGCGTCCAGACCTTAACCCTGATGAGAATCTTTGGGATGTGCTGGAGAAGGCTTGGTGCAGCGGTCAGACTCTACCATCATCAGTGCAAGATCTTGGTGACACATTAATGCCACACTGGATGGAGATAAATCTGGTGATGTCAGAAGCTTCCATCTGGGGCCCACCTATGTATGCTGGCTGAGATTATTCAGTTCCTCTGGAAAAACCAATTGGGGGTTTAACGAACAATTGAAACTATCATTAAACCTGATATGTATTTATAGCATAAATTTGCCTCATGATGCCTACATATCATTGTTATAATGCAAAAGTTGTTCCCGACTGAAGTACAGGTGTCATCTCTACCAAAAATAAAAAAATGAATACTAAAAACAACATTGTGTCCTTGGTGGGAAGAACCGTTTTGTTGTCTTATCCACAGCTTATGGTGTTTATGTAGCTAGATGCTTGCTGGGGTTATGTTTGATATCACCACCCATCCATGTGTTGACCTCTGCAGCGGTGCAGATGGAAACGCTTATCATACATTTTAAAAGTTGAGCTTTTCTTGTATTTTCATCCAGAAATGCCTATAATATAATCTATACTGAATAAAAGAGTGAAGTGAACCAGCCTCAGAGCTTTTTTTTTTTTTTTTTGCTGTCAACCTGGAGCAGAAACAGGAGACAAACTGAGATCTGAGGTGATGACAACAAAAACAGAGTGGATGAAAGGAGTGAAAACGTAAAGCAGATCCCTGCCTTCCATTGAACCCGCCCTGTGATGCAGTTTCCATGACGACGGTGGTTTCCCTGGGTTACCCCCAATGATGTCACCATGGTATTGTGTTGCCCCCCCCCTCCACACACACACACACACACACACACACACACACACACACACACACACACACACACACACACACACACACACACACACACACACACACACACACACACACACCCTTAGACTGCTAAACTGTAGTTTGTCCTTGAAGGAAGAAAAAAAAATGTTTAACTAATTCAAGTCCAAAACAGATTTGGGTAAATTATACATTTTTTAAATTGTAAATATAAATGTTTGTGAGTGATTCTACTGCTGATGAGAGTAAATTAACTCCTGGGGGCTGATGGGTGTGTTTACATATCAAAAGACACAGATCTCCTTGTTTTTTTCTTCTCATCAATACAGCGTCTCTGTTCTTTAGATCTCTGAGTTGGCATGCCAACTTGGTATGACGTCAGCTACCTTTCATCTACACCAGACACGTTTGCTTTTTGAGCAGAGACACAACAGCCCAACAAACAACAAAATGCAAAAGTGTTTGAGTTTATATTACAGCATTCTGTTCCATCCATGCAAAATCCTAGTTTGTTCAGAGTGCGAAGGAAATGCAGATTTATTGTGTTTCGCTGATTCAGAAGCTGCAGATGAGTGTTTGTTTTGCTTTTATGTGAATTAATTGGCGTTGTTGGTGTTCAGTCTTTTAGAAAATGAACATGTTTTTTCAGTAGTTCTGCATTTCAGTAAAGTAACTGTTTTTATTAATTTAGATCAAATTTGATCATTTATGTTGTCTCGTTTTAAAGTTGCTGTAAAAATCTAAAAGTATGAATCCCACAAATGAAGCTGGGACTTTTGTTTTCATAGAGAATTTTTCTTTAACATGTCAAATCCTAATTGTAATGCCTTTGACCTGCAGGTTTTAGACGTGCATGGTTTCCAGCGTGCCTGAACTGACGTCAGACTCTAAAAGCTCCTAATTATAGCGCAGGACTGCCCTCTAGTGGTTTAGATGTTATCACTGCTGGAATGAAGAAAAAACAGAAAACAGCAGCTTATAAAAAATCTATCTATCATCTATCTATCTATCATCTATCTATCTATCTATCTATCTATCTATCTATCTATCTATCTATCTATCTATCTATCTATCTATCTATCTATCTATCTATCTATCTATCTATCTATCTATCCATCTATCCATCTATCTATCTATCATCTATCCATCTATCTATCTATCTATCTATCATCTATCTATCTATCTATCTATCCATCTATCCATCTATCTATCTTCCATCTATCTATCTATCCATCTACAGAATCTATCCATCTATCCATCATCAACTTTAAATACACATTGTTTTAATGAGTTTACTAACATATTGGTTTGTTGAACTTTTGCACATCAGCTCAGAAATCTCCATCTAGTCAGTTAGAAACATGTTTGAAAGAATAGAGTAAAAACAGTAAGAATTCTCCAAAGTACATCTGTCCACACTTGTCACAAACGTAAGTGTTTTCTGTCTATTTTCAGTGACTGGTTGTCATTCTGAGTAACCCTTTATTTTACATTTAACAGGTCTAATTTAATCCATGAAATAAACCATGATCTTGTTGAGGTGAGACAGAGGCGATCATTTTCAGACCTAGGTCTGTAAATGAAATGAAAAGTTCAGGCTCTCCTCTGCCTGTAAATGTTAGCCCCACGGTGGTCAGTCTGGAGGTGAAACTGGATACAGATCTGTGTCTAGTCCAACAGATAAATGCCACTGTGAAGTCCTGTTTTTCTCATCTACACAGAAAAAGACCTCTTACAGTAGGAACATCCTGAAACGAAAACATCTGGAATCCGTCATTTGCGCCTTTTTTACTTCTAGGCTTGAAGCAAACTTTCTTTTGATTGTTGTGAATGAGACTTCAGAAGGTCCATTACGCTGCTGCCAGCCTCCTCACTGGAACAAAGAGATGTCGCATACACAGTTGCAGCTGAGCTGCACTGGCTCCCAGTGGCCTACAGGGTGAAATTTAAAAATCTTCATTTTACTTAAAAAATCATACATAACATAGCTCGCGGTTATCTAGCAGAACTCCTCGATTCCTATGTGCCTTCTAGGTCTCTTAGCTTGGCTGATCAACTCTTGCTTTGTGTTCCAAAGATGCAGTACAAGACTTGTGGTGAAAGTCTTTTGTTCAGGCAGCTCCGAAGCCACTCTCGGTTCGTTCGGCCCCGTCTGTCCACGTAAAAAATCTGGTCTCAAAACCCACTACTCCACCATTGCTTTTTGATCCTACGGACAGGACTGTAGCTGGCATGCTTGTTTACACATTTTATCATTCAGTACTTTGTTTTCACTTTTAAAAGGATCTTAGTATTCTTATGTTGTTTTTAGCACTTTTTAGTTGATTTTACTAAAGTTCGTAGCCATTACCCTTATGCAGTTTTTCTCTGTAGATGTTCTAACTTTTGATTCAACTATTTTATCTTGTTTCCCTTTGATTGTATGTCCAGCACTGTGGTCAGCTGCCATGCTGTTGATAAATGTGCTGTATTACAGTTTTTCTCCATTGGTTTGGCTCATTTCTTGAAACAGAAATTACATTCTCAAAATAACATGGACAAACCTCCAAACCTCTTGGCAAATGTTCACAACAGAATAACATTTCTTATTCATTTTATCAAATGGCAAAAGCCTTAGTACATGTCTCAATTGTCTCAGTGCATCTTTGCAACTGATTAAGTACTACAGTTACACAGCTAGCCCACATTTAGCACATTTTCCAAATGAATAGATCTTGTAGATCTAAACTGATTAGTTGATTCTCAGTCTAATGATCATTCTCTCCAAAACATGTCAGCATGATTTCATCGTATAAGTACTCGCATGCACAACTGTCTGTTCAATTGTCAGAATTGGTCAAGAACACAATTCCATGAATACCATATATGGATTTCTTTGAATATTTGATACATTGATGACAGTCATTGACAATCAGGTGAAACTAGACTAACGAACGGGGAGTGTCACACACACACAGGTGTTTTCCATGATCATGTGCTGCCAAACACAGATGTATAGAGCTTGACCAGCGCCAGTCCGATCTCTGAACACGGATAGACAAGGCCAAGCAAACAGACAAGAGAAAGTATCCGCTGTTATGTGGATGAGAATCTGTGGCCATACGGACAACCACGTGTAAATAATCAGGAGGGTGAAGACAGTGGACAAGAGCGGGAGAATGAGTACAGCGACCACTGAATACGTTCTTGTTTTTTGATTTTGTGTTCATATAATTTACTGTATTACTGTAATGTACATTTTCTTTTTACTTATGTATGGAACTTTCTTTACATGTGAATAAAAAATGGTTATAATTTCCTTGGTAGTGTGAGGCTACTCTTTACGGTTGTATATTGTTGGTCCTCTGCCATAGTGACTAAACATCTAAACATTTTGCATGGCAGTACTCTCACAATGCCAAAGGGACGATGCATTTTGGGGGCACTGACTATTCAGATTAGAAAGAAATGTAGTTTTGACACATGCGTGAACTGTTTTAGGAGAGATTTGAGCTTTTGCAGGTAAATCATGTTGTTGTGATCAACCATCCAGGTTTATTTTGACAAAAGCACCAAGAATGATGAGAATGTCCGATCTGTGTCGAGACATGAGCCAAAGCTAATGAGAAGGATCTTTGCTGTTTTGGAGACACTGACTGTTTAAATCAGAAAGGGATTTAGACTGAAGCCTGAGTGAACCGTTTCAGGAGAGTAATGAGCTTTTGCAGGTGAGCTATAGTGTTGTGCTAAACTGTAAGAGTGTTTTGCCAAATGATCTTAGAGGTTTGAGAATGTAATTTCTGTTTCAAGAAATGAGCCAAACCAATGGAGAAAAACTGTAATAAATCTGGATTGGATTGAGATTATAGTCTGGGCTTTTGGGAATGATGGTTAAGATGGTTAAGATGTAAGAACCTTATGATTTATTATTGTTGGTCAACGGTTGTCCTGCACATACAACGACACTTAAAATGATTTTTAGTCTCTGACATTGTTTTATATCCAGCAGCAAACACAAGTTATATCACTACTTACCTAAATTAGACTCAGTCTTCTGTAGTAATAAAGATTCTGCGTTAGCATTAATTACTATGAAGGTGTTAGCTCATGCAGCTTGCTGAAACAAACCACCTTCTGTCCTTGAACCAGTAGAAATCACCATCTGGGATTTTTCAAGTAGGTCTGGAAACTACTGAAGATTTTCTGAGAAGTTTTAGGTCTGACCCAATATTTTTATTTCCCATGAGATACAGAGGGATTGCAGCTGAAGAGAAACCCCTTATTTACATTTAACATAACTTTAAAAAATATTGAAAAGGGCATTGTGGTGGTTTTGCATATTGTTGTCACCAAGTAAACAAATCCCTTCAGGTGCATCAAATCAAACCTCGTTTGGCTTTTTTAAATACAGAAACAAACAGAAACTCAAATGCAAAAAGAATTATGTTAACCAATTAAAAGGAAGGAAAATCACCTTTCTGACCTCTAATCAAACACAAGCATGCTGGATCCTGATGGCTGGTGTGATTATCAGATGGCAGCATTTTTCATTCTCATAAATATCTTAATAATGTACTTCATGTAGTTAGTTATGTTTCCCAGTATCTTTTTCATGCAGACATTCATTCGAACAACACTCAACCCTTTAAACACACATTTGTTTTACGTTTTAATCCAAGTACAACATTTGCTGACTCTCCTGTTTTCTTGTGTTTTTGTGCAGAGTTCCAGAAACGTCAGAGCTGCAGGTGCTCTGCCTCAGAACTGCTGAGTGCACCTGTCTGCTCC